ATTTTTCATTTCCTACGAAAAATTAAATTTTTTCATAACGAGATTTGCTATTGTAAGAAAAAAAAAATGAAAAAAATTGATAAAAAAAATAATTCCAAAGCAGGACATAAAAATAAAATTCCCTGTGGACATCATTTTCTTGAACCGCTGAACACGGTGGCGATGAATTAGATGAAGTGGAAAATGAAGCGATGTGCCATGGTGTATTCATCAATTCGCATTTACATATTTTAGGCGTAAAAATTAATCACTAATTTTAATGCGCACCAAACAGTCAAGAGAATCCGGAGAGGGAGGATGCAATATGTATTAGGAGTGGGCTTTGGAATATTACGCGGGGCTAAACTTGTTAAGTGCCCAACGCTAATGTAGCAATTTTTAAATTGATGTTCGGAAAACAGAAAACAAAACATCACCAAAAAAATTTCCAAATACAGAGTTGTTAAAAAAAAAATCCTCCCTGAAAGTATGCAGTGTTCAGAGAACAAAAATGGTAATAACTGCGGTGTATGCAGACAAGGTAAACAAATTGCGCGATGAGCCGTTGTCACTTAAACCGAACCGAAATTAAAAAGAAGACATCATTTGACTAGACTTCCGAAGTGTTCAGGATATTTCCGTTCCATTTATGTTTGACACAAAAAAAAAACTATGTAAGATTGTATAAAAATTTGAAAAAAACGAGAAACGAAGAACGTAAAAGGTTAGTGCTTAAGTTGAACAAAAATGGCTTGGACTATTTCAACTAATGAAAAATTGATTGCAATTAAACTTGGTTAACTGCTTTCATTATTCCTTAATAATTTTCTCATATCCTTTTTATAGTCAAAAATTCAACTGCCAAACTTTAGGAAGAAACTCTATGTTTTATGGTATTTTGGACTCACATATACTATATGTCTCATATAAACAAACAAATAAAGAATTGACATAAATCATTTTATTGCAATAACAAGGCGTAGTCATACTTGAAATATTTTCACGTGTCTTTTCCAAATCTGAAGGATTCATATGAAATCATCTACGCACATCTTTAACACACTTCCACCGAATTTTGCTTCTCTACAAAAAATCCCCTCTTATTCATTGAGCAAAAAATAGTAGGAAAAGCGCACATAAATCAAAAATTGCATATTTGATTTATTTTTATTCTTTGGCTCATATTTTCGCCGAGTAGAAACTGAAAGTATTGAAATGTAAGGCATTCATTTTAATAAACAGAAAGTATGCTACCAAAATATTCCTGCTTTTGCATAGAAGCATCCATATACTTCAGCACGCATTTATGCGACTCGGTATCTCATGAACTTATATGAGTGCGCTTGTCACTAATGTGACAGTATCCTTTAAGTACGTTCCTTCATATGTTTTAAGTACATTATTGGATCATCTTCAATTTGTGTTGTTGTACATATTTTCTTTTTGTTGCTATTTTTTTCTTATTGTTGCTGCCTTTTTTTTGTGGTATTTCATAACAATAAGAAACCAACATTGACATTTGCAAAAATACTCATAAATTCTAGTCAAGTGCGTTTGAATAAATTTTTTTTGCAAGGTTTTATAGTATACATCGAGGCGTATGCACAAGATATGTTCTTTTTGCAAACAAAATTGACAAATCCACTTATGCGTGATTATTCTTTTTATGGTTTTTCCATTCCATGATAACTGAGATACGAACAAGTGGTGCTTGATGAAAATAATATTTGAAATACTTTAAGATATAAAACTGAAGTGAGCAGTCAAGTGATGTTGGATACATTTGTAATGTAGCTCCATTTTGGTTGTTGTTCTATGCAACCTTCAAGTCCTTTTCAAAACTTTTCTAATTAAAATAAAAAAAAATAAATTTTTAAATTTAATTTTAATTTAAAAAATACCAACATATTCTTAAGTTTAGTTCAATCTTCTTAAGCATTCAAAGCATGAATTACAATCTTCAATCTTAAGCATGATTGATAGTAAATGTTTTTAAATTCATATATTATATATTCATATATTAAATTCATATATTATTCATATTATGTTATAAAATTTAATAAATACCACAATATGATTTTCAATATGTTGATTGATTTATGAAATTTTTTTATATGTATTTTTAAACGTTCTAATTAGTCAATTGTATAACATAACTTAAAATTAATTTAAGAAGTTGTATTATTTAAACAATTGGCCAATGAGCTCGTTCAACGATATGTAAATATTATTAAAAATTATAAAAAAAATAGATGAGTTGAGTTTACTTTGTTTAGAAAAAAAATTATTAGTTTATTTTGAGTAGTTAAAACTTTACAGCAAATGAAAACATAGATCTCTTAATAAAAGCTATGGTCTTCTAATTTGTAAGCTATTAGTCAATTTATCTTGTTTGTATTAAATACAACTTAACGATTTGATATATAAAATGTGTTTTATATATAGACCTTTTATATATAGACCCCCCAACCCTTTCTATGGCTTAGAATAGAACAATATTTCACTACTTATTAGAGAAGAAAATAAAAACAAAAAAGATTTTATGAGCACAACCTACTAGGTTTAGTATATTTTAAGTCGCTTATAAGAACCCACTATTTAAATTGATATAGAGAATGAATGAACTTAACGAAAGATAATTTAATAATTATGACAGGAGTTCTAACAGAAAATTGTAGTTGAACCATCACTTCATTGCACTAACTATCGTCGAAGAGAGGCGAAGAATCACGGGTCACCTTAATATACTGAGAATCATCCTCATTTTATTCAGAGGCTTGCAAAGACATGGAAATGACGCAAAACAGGACAAAGGCGAGAAAGTCATAGATGGATTTACAACTTCTGCTGATGAACCAAATTTTGTGAGTTAGGACTAATACTATTAATTGTCTAAGAGTTGGAATTGCATTGCAACAACATTAACATGTTGGATATGTGATGAATCCCACCGTTGTTATATGTTATCTACGACTGTTGTGCCGTATGTTGACGCACATCAGTATTTTCAGGGCCTTTTTTTTAATTTGTGAAAAAAATTAATTTGTGAAAAATTACTCTATAGGAGTATGCTTCTGATAATTTTCTCTTGTGAACGAACCACACAAAGTCTTTCATCCAACAAAGGATATCTGTAGAGCGAACGCTGAAAGTTGGTTTTAGTCCCATACGTGTTCAAGCTGAGCCTAAAAATGCATTGTTATCATTACTAATGCTTCCTGGTGGTTTATAATTAAGTACAGGTGAAGTCTTATAACAGTTAACATATATTATTTACGAAGTTCAAATCTTCTAACTTTTCTGTGAAAGTCTTAACTTACAAAATCTTTTGTGGTTTTTTCTAGCAATGCCTTTATTTGTTATTTAATTAACAAATAATATTAATCATTAATTTTCAGTGTTTACAAAAACTATATATCCTAGGACACTGCAGTTATCTTAAATTCAGTGAATTAATTTACTGCATTGAGTAACACTATTGTACTTCATCTTACTTTCACTGATCATGTCTATTGAACTGACAAGACTTACAAGAGCTTTTAGTCCAACCTAACTTTCACAGCATATGACAATGTACAACATTTTTTTACAGATAATCCAGTGAAGTTTTGTGAGTTCTAGCGAAATTTTTTAGAAAACTTCATTATGATATAGCGAAAAAAACTGACTACAATATAATTTTAGCAGCGTCTTCATAATTTAGTTTATGATTGATAATGCCAAGTAATCAAACACACTTAAAATATAATCTTTAAGTACAATAAATTTTATGCTTTCACATTATTTAAAATTTTAAAAGAATAAAATATCGTCTTTCATGAGAAAAGTTTTAATACATATTCTGTTATCTCCACACCTGATATTTTCTTAACCTCTCCCTTCAAAATTGTATTTAATTTATATATAACATGCTTCCTAACCCACACTTTGGCTGGAGATTATATGTACACACATAATTGTTTATTTAGTAATTGTAATAATTTAGTAATTTCGCCATATTGTGTACAACTACAACTACAAACATTGAATTAATGTAATTTCAACTCCTGACGTAATTTAACGAACAAAGTCGAGAGGATAACATTTACATAAATGGGCGAATTATTAGTATCGACATCCAGACACGGTGAAACTCCTTATGGGAAAATAAAAAATAATAAAAAATTAAGAAAAAAAATATTTTACCATGAGTTAACGTCTTATATATGTATAGATATATATGTATTCCCTTAAACGTATTTTAATTATACACTGATACCAGAAAATAGTTTAATTAAAAATAATATTTTTGAAGAATCTACCTCTTTCGTATTATTCGAAATTACTAAAAATATAACACCTCTGTTAAGAAAAGCATTAATATTAATAATCGCCTTATGTCAGTGAAATGTCCAGTGCTTAAAATTTTCTACCAAAAATCGTAGATACTATATTCCAATATTTTCAGTGAAAAGTGCCAAGATATTTATGCAATTTAGTTTCAAAAATTTACTTTCAATTTTAAGAGTTCCCCTCAAAGTATGTGTTGGAGCAAAACAAAACATCTAACTTGACTGCTCCACCCTGTATGTAGATTTTATTCATTTCGTAAATTCGCTGCACTTGCAGAGAGCAAAACGACCGTTTTGCGCTTTGTTTTACTGTTGTGTTGTTGAAGAATTGAGAGTTGGTTCCCGTTTCAGCTGACACATTTTTTACTGTGCGCGAAGTCTACGGATGTCTTTTTTAGTGAAAAGTAAATGATCAAATTTTTTGTTAATAAATTACATATTTTACATTTGTTAAAATTACATTTGTTAAAATTACAAAAATTATATACTCTAAATTCATTGTATTTAAATTATAAAATTTAAATTTCCAATTTAAAACAATTATACATTTTACATACATTTTACATTTTACATTTGGTGAAAATAATTTAATAAAAATTAAATTTACAATTGAATTCAAACATTTCGTTTGTTTTACTATTCGAGACTAAACATTGGCGACCGTGACAGGACACGTGTCCTAGCAATAAAATGAATACCGATAATGATAACAATCCAACCAGCAATGCAAGCAATAATGCAGCTAATACGGCTAATAATGCAGTCAATTCAAGTAATAATTCTGCTCTTAATTTAAATAATTTAAAGCAGCAGCGATCAACAGTGAAAAGGAACATGACCTCGATTCGATCTAAAATAGAGAAGGAGAAGGACGAAGTAGATCCAACAATTCTGGAATGTCGACTACAAATTCTAGAATCTCATTTCAAACAATTATGCCATATTCAATCACAAATCGAACAATTAAATCCAGAAGACAATGCCAGAGCTGATTTTGAAGAGCTATTTGTTGTTTCAAAGGCGAAAATACTTAATTTGCTTAAAGAAACTCGAAGTAATACTTCATTTGAAAACAGTGTGATGAATACAACATCCAATTTCAGTGTTGCCCACAATTCTCGTTTACCATTTTTAAAATTGCCAAAATTTGACGGAAAATATGCCAACTACAATCGATTTATCGCAGCATTTAAGCATTTGGTGCACAATGACCCAACCTTATCTAATGTCGATAAATTCAATTATTTATTATCATGTCTTACAGGCCCTGCACTTGCAGTCATCGAAGCCTTTCAAATTACAGCAGAAAATTATCCAAAGGCTATGGCACGATTGAAAGAACGTTTCGATAATAAGGTATTAATATTCTTAGACCACATTACTGAACTCTTTAATATTCCAGGAATGATTAAAGCTGATCCGGCTTCTCTACGTAAACTAATTGATACTGTTGCAGCATTAAGATCATCATTGCTTTCATTGGGCTCAGAAGTAGAAGTTATGAATGCTATTATAATTTATATAGTCCTAAGTAAAGTTGATGCAGAAACAAAATTTGCACATGACGAAAAGCAAGAATTTGAAAAAATGCCTTCTTGGGACGAATGTTATAAGATGTTAAGTCGGCGTTGTCAATTTCTTGAAGGACGAGCTACGTCTATAAACGCTTCCGAAAATAAATCACGAAATAATTTTAATACTGTACCAAGAAGAGTATTACAAACGCATCTCAGTGTCAAATCTGGTTGTGAATTTTGCAAGGCAGCTGACCACTTTTTAGGAAAATGCCCTTCGTTTTTAGCAACGCCAGTTTCTCAGCGCTTTGACTTTGTTAAGAAAGCAGGCTGCTGCATAAATTGTTTGACAAAAGGGCACTCCGTTACAAAATGTAAATCCGAATCACGTTGCAGAATTTGTCGTTCATCACGTCATACTCATTTACACAAATTTACAAATACTTTGATTAATTCATCAATTAGTTGTCCAAGTATCGCAATTCAAGAGCAAGGACAGCTACAACAATCTAACAGCGCTGTAACATCATTATTAATTCAGTCTTCAAAAAGAGCAATTATTCCTACTGTTCTGGTATTTGTGATGGACAAGTTTGGGCTTAAGCATCCAGTGCGCGCACTTTTAGATTCCTGTTCCGAATTAAACTTTATTACAGAGGAAACAGCCAAATTATTGCATTTAAAATGGCAATACTCTACTCAAGAAGTCTTTGGTATTTCCAATTTGAAAACACATTTCAATTATAATGTATATGCAACTGTGCATTCTCGCACGTCCGATTTTGAATGGTCTTCTCAGTTTACAATTACGAAATCTATTTCCTCCGTAAACCATAGAGCCTACATTAATGTAACAAAATTTCAAATTCCTACTAATATTCAATTAGCGGATCCATTATTCGATAGACCTTGTCAAGTGGACATGCTGATTGGTGCAGAAATCTTCTTTGATTTATTACTTGATGGCAAAATTTCGTTAGGCAAAGACATGCCATATTTAATTAACACTGTTTTCGGTTGGGTAGCAGGAGGCACGCATAGTACAGACTTATGTTCTAAATCATATGAATGCAACTTTACTCAAAAATTACACAATGAAGATACATTCCTTGAACGATTTTGGGAATTAGAAGAATACAAAATAAGCTCCCCGCAACTCAGCGCAGAGGAGAAAAATTGCGAACAGCACTACATCAAAACAGTAACAATCACCGAAAATGGGCGAGTTCAAGTAAGATTACCTTTTAAAGTCAACCCCGATGTTTTAGGAAAATCATTTCATCTAGCTAAACAACGTTTTCTTTCACTGGAACATAGGTTGCAACGAGATCAAGTTCTATACAAAATGTACTCAGAGTTCATGAATGAATATGTATCATTAGGGCATATGTCTAATATAAAAGCAGTAGATTTCTCGAAGCCACACTACTTCATACCACACCACTGCGTTTTAAGGCCTCAAAGTCTCACAACAAAGCTTCGAGTCGTGTTTGATGCTTCAGCAAAGACTTGCTCTAAGTATTCTCTAAACGACACACTTATGGTTGGACCGACTATTCAACAAGATTTAATAACTACGCTCATGGCATTTCGATTACATAAGTATGCATTGACAGCGGACATTGCAAAAATGTACCGCCAATTTTTGATGGACAAACGTGATAGATGGTTTCAGTTAGTGTTGTGGCGAGATAATCCTCACGCTGATTTACAGATTTTTCAATTAAATACAGTGACGTATGGAACATCATCCGCTCCGTTTCTGGCTATTCGATCGCTCTTTCACATTGCAGACATGCATATTCATAAATTTCCAATTGGTGCTTCTACGTTAAAAACAGATCTCTATGTTGATGATCTTCTCACCGGCGCTAATACTATTACTGAATTACTAAACAAAAAAATAGAAATTACAAATTTACTATCAAAGGCTGGATTACAACTCGCAAAATGGAGTTCTAATTGCGACAAAGTAGTGTCGAGCAGTGATGAAAGTTTCAATATCAAATCTAGCGCAGATCCCATCACGAAGGCATTAGGCATGGTTTGGAAACCAAAAAGTGATTTATTCTGTTTTCAATACGAAATTCCGACTCATGACATTCATACAAAGCGATCGGTTCTATCAACTGTGGCTAAAATTTTTGATTTATTGGGACTTTTAAGTCCAATTATCGTACGATGTAAAATTCTAATTCAGGAAATTTGGATACAAAATTTGAGTTGGGATGAAACTCTGCCTCCAAAGTTACTAACATCATGGTTAAACATAAGAGATGATTTATACTTTTTAAATTCTATTAATGTACCTCGTTATGTTTTTACTGACAGTGAAATTAAGAGTGAAGTTCACGGATTTTCCGATGCTTCACAGCGTGCCTACGGTTGTTGCATTTATATACGTACAAGATTGAATGATACATGGAATGTAACTCTTTTAATTGCTAAATCAAAGGTAGCGCCGATTAAGGCACAATCCCTACCAAGACTTGAACTGTGTGCAGCCCTCTTATTAAGTAGAACATGGAATAAAGTCATGTCCAAGGTTGAACAATTCGTGAATTCAGTATATTTTTGGACAGATTCTGAGGTGGTTTTACAGTGGCTACAAATGCATTCATCTTCTCTTAATTGTTTTGTAGCAAATCGTACATCAGAAATTCAAGAAATGACCAAAAACATCAAATGGCATCACGTACCATCTAAAGACAATCCTGCAGACATTGTTTCTCGCGGTTGTAATGCTGAAGAATTACCTAAAACAATATGGTTCAGCGGACCTGCATTTTTATATTTACATACAGATCAATGGCCGTCACGTAAAATTGGTGACATTAAAGCACATCCAATAGAACTACGCAAAACACTCACATTAAAGTGCAGAAAGATTGATAATGAGAACTCAATACTTTTAGAGATAATACACAATAATTCATCTTACTATAGAATTTTACGTATATGTACTTATATTTTTCGAATGTTTAACAAAGAATGCCCTGACAAACAATTAAAGCTAACTGATATCATGCACATATCATCAAAGGAATTAGACATCACCTTTTGGAAAATCATTGCTGAAATACAACGTGTAACCTATTCACATGAGATTAATTTATTAGAAAGTGGTAAGACCATAAGCAATAACTTACAAAAACTTTCTCCGTTCCTACATACAAATGTGAAAGGCAACAATGAGATAAAAATTCTTCGAGTTGGTGGAAGACTACTAAACGCAGAAATTCCCTTTGATGCTAAATTTCCAGCGTTGGTTCCGAAACATGATCGATTTGTGCAGCTTTATATTGACTTTCTACACAAAGAAAATTTACATGCTGGACCAAAGGTATTAATCGCTCTACTCCGTCAGAAATTGTGGATAATTAATGCAAGAGAAGCAGTGAGAAAGGTTGTTAGCTCATGCGTTCACTGTTTTCGGTACAAACCAAAATTATTGAATCAAATTATGGGAAACTTGCCAGCTGATCGTCTCAAGGCACAACGTCCATTTTTGATTAGTGGCATCGATTTTTGCGGACCATTTTTCACATCATACCGTATACGAGGCAAAGCTCCTTATAAAACTTATGTTGCAATATTTGTTTGTTTTGCTTCGAAGGCATGTCATATCGAAGTAGTCACCGAATTATCAACTAATGCATTTCTTCTTTGTCTTAAAAGATTTATTGCTAGAAGAGGTGTTCCACAACGGCTATATTGCGATAATGCAACAAATTTTGTTGGCGCACAAAAGAAATTAAGAGATTTTGCTAGTAAATTTTTTCAGCAGAAGTCAATTAATGAAATAATGACTTTCTGCGGTAAGTCTAATTTCGAATTTTGTTTTATTCCTCCTAGAGCTCCACACTTCGGTGGCCTTTGGGAGGCTGCTGTCAAATCAACCAAACTACTATTGGTGAAAAATGTTGCTGAAGCTAATCTAACGTTAGAAGAGTTTAATACACTAATAATTGAAATAGAAGCAATATTAAATTCTCGGCCTATTTGCGCAAACTCTGATGATCCCAACGACGGAGAAGCCTTAACTCCAGCACATTTGTTAATAGGTTCATCATTACGGGCCGCGCCAGATGAATGTTTAGACGACAAGAAACTATCTTGTTTATCTCGATGGCAGCGAGTAACATATTTAAAACATCGTTTTTGGGAAATCTGGAAACGCGATTATATTCTATTTTTACAACAGCGAGCTAAATGGTTCAGTCCTGAACCCAATGTTAAACTTGGACAAATAGTAATCGTGCATGAAGATAATTTGCCTCCTCAAAGGTGGGTGTTAGCGCGTATAACCCAGATTCATCCAGACACTGACGGAAAGGTTCGCGTAGTTGACGTATCTACACCACAGCGTACATTTAAACGTCCAATTCAGAAAATTGCTCCTTTACCGTGTGATACTTGTTGAAACTATAGCGTTCAACAGGGGGGAGTATGTTGGAGCAAAACAAAACATCTAACTTGACTGCTCCACCCTGTATGTAGATTTTATTCATTTCGTAAATTCGCTGCACTTGCAGAGAGCAAAACGACCGTTTTGCGCTTTGTTTTACTGTTGTGTTGTTGAAGAATTGAGAGTTGGTTCCCATTTCAGCTGACACATTTTTTACTGTGCGCGAAGTCTACGGATGTCTTTTTTAATGAAAAGTAAATGATCAAATTTTTTTGTTAACAAATTACATATTTTACATTTGTTAAAATTACATTTGTTAAAATTACAAAAATTATATACTCTAAATTCATTGTATTTAAATTATAAAATTTAAATTTCCAATTTAAAACAATTATACATTTTACATACATTTTACATTTTACATTTGGTGAAAATAATTTAATAAAAATTAAATTTACAATTGAATTCAAACATTTCGTTTGTTTTACTATTCGAGACTAAACAGTATGCAATACTTAATTATAATTTTAATAATGTTAGTTGTTTTCACAGCCGCCATTTTCAATTTTCATGTCCAAAATTACAAACTCCTATCATGTTCAACCATTTCACCGGTCTTTTGCATATAAAAACATATACTGGAGACTGCATAAACACCCATGAACTTTTCTGGAATAACATTTAAGCAACCAGAAAACTTTACGAAAATCAACAAACATACCAAATACATAACATAATCGAGCTATTTTCTTACAAGTCACAACTACAAATACCGGCTTCGCGTTTAGTTTTCTTATGCAAAGGAAAAAAGTATAAGAAGAAGAAGCAAGGTATACAACAAAGGTAACCTGTACGCACGTAAATTGTAAGAATCCTCGCCAGATTTTAATTTCTCATGATAACACGATCGTACACATACATACTATACTGCAGAACACATACTATACAAAATGAATTAGTTTGCGTGTGTGTGAAGAAAATTAAGCGCAACCAAAACGACCATACGACCATAAGACAACCAACAGCTGCGTGCAGACATCGCCGCTGCTGTGTTGCCATGGCTTAAGCAATTTATTTACTTGCATTTACTATTCGCAATTGATTTCGATTTAGTAAATTTTGCGAAAACCTTGTATTTTTACAATATTCAACACTCTTGCTCGCAACACAGCCACCCTTACCCATATCTACCACTAAGTATTTTGTCTATAATTTTTGCGCATTATGTCTGTTTGTTTGTCTGTGTTTGCGTGCACACATTTGCATGTAAATTCCTTGGTTTGCCGCTGCAATTTAACGCTTTCTTGCGGTTTTCCCGCACTTTTTTGCATATTTTGTTTCATTTTAGTTTAAATTTAAGTTTTTTTGCTTTTTTATAATATGTGTTGCATACTTTGCGGCTCATGTATTTTCAACCTGTTGTCGTCTAATGTGTGCTCGTGTTTAATATTATTAACAGAAATGACAGCAGCCGCATGTCTCAATATGTATTCGTGTGTCATTCTCGGTGTGCATAAAAGTTTAATATTATTACCTTTCATCAGCATTAAAGTTAATGTGGTTGTCAGTATCCTTTCTTTGAATTTAAACAATAATTTCGTTTTGTCAAATTGTTCATTAGTATTTGAATTGACTTTAATTAAATATTAAATTGATTTTTTATTTAAAAGTGAGTTTGAATTTTTTATCAATTAATTTCTGCGGGAGGATACCTCGCACAGCATAGTTGAAGTTAATACTCATTAAATAACTTACACAGTCATCAATAATATGTCGATAATAGTCAACATTAATACTCGACGCTAATACTCGATTATTATACACGAGGGTTATAGTCAACGGTAATACTCGACAAGTGTACTCAATGGTCAATTCTCATATACTCAACGATAATACGCAACGGCAATACTCGACGTCAATACTCGATCATGAAACTTGTCATTGACTCAATGGTCAATAATCATACTAAACGATAATACTCGATGATAATAATTGACTGCAATACTTGATCATGAAACTTGTCATTGACTCAATGGTCAATAGTCATATACTCAACGATAATACGCAACGGCAATACTCGACGATAATACTCGATTGTAATAATCGACGACAATACTCGATCATGAAACTTGTCAGTAATACTCGACGATTATACGCAACACTGCTACTCGAACGATACTCAATTTTTGTACTGGACGGTAACAGCCGACCGTTATTCGATGGTTATACTTGATGATTATAGCCAAACATAATACTCGACGGTAATAATTTACGGTTATACTTGACGGTTATTCTCGACGGTAATAGCGGAGTGAAATATTCAATGGTAATACAGTTATACTTGATGGTAGAAGCCGTTCGGAATGGTCGAAGCTAATACTCGATGCTTTTTCTCGATGGTAATAATACGCGACGTTTCCGAAGTTTATAAAATCTTCTTTTTTTTGAAGTTCGTTTTTAGGTTTTCCCCTCCAGCTGTCTTTGCTACTTGCTATCCTTTTTCAATCTCATACATGAAGTCTCAACTTTATTACTCAACCAGAGACATGGTCTTTCACTACAACTTTTTCTAGCATCTGCCATTTTAAACAACGTTTTCGCTGTGATAGCGTTCATGCTTTTGCGCTATATTAGTAGGATGAGCGCCCTGTAGAGTGTAAGTTTTGTCTGTTGAGAGAGAACTCTATATTCTTTTTGCCTAATAAATCCATAGTATCAGCTTTTGGTAATGGAGATTCCGCTTCTGATGTTCAGACTGACATCGTTGTCGAGTGGATTGGAGCACACGAGCCAGTGCACCAAGTAATCTGTCTGATTGCAATTAAATTGAAACATATCAGCGCAATCCTCTTCATCATGAATCTAAGTAGTCAAACAGTCTCCCCGTAGCACCACCAGATTTTTGCCCGTCACTCGTTAGGTAATGAACTCATAGTGCGTACAGTGAAACCTATTCCCAGAACTTTAAGTTTGGTTTGTACACAGGATTTGGCATCCATCAAGTAAAATCAGTCGTTAGTGAAAAGTGCGAGAATGCGAGGATGCCTCGGAAGTGTAAACCGAATGTTGACGAGGTTTTTTAATTAAGGAAGATTTGATAAAAAAGGTTTGAATATCCAACAAATAAAACATGCAAAAAACTGCAGTGATTGACGCAATCAACTTCAATTTATTCTGAAGTAAATAATAGTCATTTTAGAATTAAATTTACACAGTGAGACTGACATTTGTGAATTCCTCTTCAAATGAAATCGATTAGTTTAATTAGGTCTGTAAGCTAACTTCAAGAATTGAACAATTTTTGCGACAAAGACTTATTAATTATATTAGTATGAAAAATGTAAAACTTAGGATCATTTAGATCATAAGTATATATTGCCAATTAAATATAAAGTGTCGATATCATTAAAATATCTAAAAGTTTTTTAGAGTACGCTTTCCATTCTATTCGAATCCATTCTATTCAAAATGAGCAACTAAATTTTGATAGTTGTCAAAGTCAATGTTATTCTTTTGAAATGATTATCAACACCTCATAAACATGTAACTGACAGAAGCAGTGTCCACCAAACATGAACAAAAACTATTAATTTCGAAACTTTTAAAATAATTTAAAAATATTTAGTTTGAAATCGTACCATGCTGTGATTTATTTACTAACTATTAAACTCCTCCTTTCAATGAAGTTCGCAGACTTTGTTCTCCAACAAGAAATGACATAAACAACTCAAACCGCAGTCACATCAAATGGCAGCGCACTCTTGTCCTTTTAACCATTCTTGCCATGAATATCAATTGACCCATGGTCATCTTCAAATAACAATAGTTTCACATTAAATCCAAAAGCAGTCACTGAGGCCAGTGTTCGACATTCAAGCTCGATGTCAACTGCTACCGAGGTCAGTGTATTGTCATCCATGTTTGGAGCTTGTCGCTGTTCTTGTTCTTGCTCGCTGCAGGACTCATAGTTGCAGCAAAGGGTATTTCCCTTTTTAGGTTTCTCTACTACTCTTACTGTTTTTATTTGTCATTTCTTGTTGTAAGTATCCTGTTTGTAAATATTTTGTATTTAATGGTATTCAATATCGTGCTGCTCGGCTTCCGTGTGCCATATTGTTTATTGTGTTCTTGTCATTACTTCAACTTTTTATCTTTCTCTTCAATGTTTTTTTAATAACAATTCAAATTGTTTTTGATAAAGTTTTTGTTTCTAAACTATTTCATAAGCTCCAGGGTATTTATTTTCCATCATTTTTTTGCTTCTTTTGGGTTAGACATTGTTAATGTTTTTGACTTCTAGTCGATAGTTTCCTAAATCTCAAAATTTCGTGCCCTGAAGAAAAGTCATGTTTTAATATTTGGTCTTTGAATTTAAATGGAAGACAAACGGACTCATTATTAGAAGCTTTGTGTTTTCTATTATTCTAATTAGTCAAAAAATAGACATAAAATGACCAAGAAATAAATACTTACTTCAACTAACAAATAAAGAATGATTGATATTAAAGAAAAATATCCTCTTTTTTTAATTTGACAAAATGCACAGGTATGTTAGTTATAATATATGTAGGAAAGCCCGGTTATTTTATACATATAGATTTAGATGAAAGCAAGTTTGTCTAATTCAAATTTTAATCAATTTAACACCTTCCATGACGAAAGTTCTTCAGGAGAAGAAAGGTAGTCTTAACATAATTAACTATCTCTGCTGTGAGTTTATCCAAAATAGAAAATCTGTAGAGTAGAAAAAACTGTCTAATAATTATGCTTCCGCCTTCCGATCTAATAACATAAGATCATAAGAAAACCTATTTCGCATTTGTTTATAGGTACAGAATAATTTGATTTCCTACATCCAACAAACTGTTCTTATTGTCTAAAAGTACTTGAAAGCCCGAAATAAAGAATTTGGATCCAGCTTCTTTGATTGTTGCTTAATTCTAAGAATATTTAAAATATTTAATATATAAGTTGAATTCATGTTTTCGAATAAATTTTTTAAATCTTTATCTACT